CCTAACACATTATCCAACTTCAAATTCAAAGAAAATGTGAATGAGGGTTAAAATGGTAATTTACTGTCATTCAGAGAACAATTACCAAACAACATTATTTCATTCAGTACTTAACCATTCTGGCCCTCTTAACCATTCTGACCACTTAACCATTCTGCACCAAACCATTCAGCAACTGCCAAACAGCCCCTAAGTGTTTTAACATCAACTTGTTTTTTATTGTAAAATTGATATAGAAAATATAAAATAATTATTGTAAAATATTTTTTTATTTTTTGTTTTTTTCAAATTTTTATACAAATTTTTGTATTACTAAGTTAATCTTTAATTAATTTATTATATTATTATATTATTTTGTTAAAAAGTTAGATAATTGAACAAAAATATTTCAAGATTTTACCCATTAATTCCAAGAATATCTTGAACGAATTTTTGAGACGCGCTCAAATAAAGTTCATCAACTCTACTTCGACTTGGTTAAATGTATTTGGCCAAATTGATATTACAATTGATCTATACTACAATTTATTACTTAGGTTGTTTGTTTACCTCTTAATGATGTCAAGGTAAAGGTCTGATTCGGTCGAACATTTTCTTGTTTGGATGGATTTTAAAAAAGGTCTGAATGATTCAATTAACCTTGAATCGCTCATTCACCCATCTACTGCTAATACGATTCAGATATGCAATTTTTCGACGTTTGCCATACGATTCAGATATGCAATTTCCCCATGTTTTCCCTCCTCACCTCTTCCGGTTCATCTCTACACTCTCCTCCTTATCGATTCTCTCATTCTTCTCTACTCTCTCCTATCGATCAATTGTTGAATACCACCACTGCAACATCAGTTGGAAACCAGCGACACATCATCTATTGGAATCGCACCGACGCATTCCTATTAGAAACCTAGCGATGACCCCCTGGTTTCAAACCTACCATCGATTCAATAGGTAAGATCCCTCGACTTGCAAAATCCAGTCTGTTGTGATTATTTTTGCTTTCATCTCTCTTCTCTGTATGATTATTTTTGGTTTCATAAGTTTCATGTCTCTGTTGTGATAATTTTGGTTTCATTGGTGTCATTGGTTCCAAGATGCAATATCCAACCTATTATGATTATTTTGGTTTCATTGCTCCTTAGCCATTCATGATTAACTACTATCTGATGGTATTACCTTTAATTGAATGTTTTTTGCATCATATTTAAGATTTTCCCACTCCCTTTCTATCTAATAACAAAATTTTCTTCTACCAGTTTTGCATCTAAAAAACATTAGAGTCAAGACATGTTAGCAATTTTATTAGTATTAGAACTATAACTTGGACACGAAAAACTGTAGTCTAGGCCTTTCCTTCTACATTAGAGTCGAGACATATTAGCAACTATATTTATGTCTTCTCTTCCTTCTCCTCCCTTAGAAACGAGTTGGTTTTCGCCATATGCATCTATGTTTGTATCTAAACTAACCAGGAAGTGCAAGCATATCAATGTCAAGAAGTTTATGATGGAATTTTCATAATTCCCACAAAACACACAATGGAGATTAAACAACTGTTTATGATGGAATAATGACTTGGTTCATGTATGTGTGTTGCTAGCCAAATCATACCACACATTAGGTAACAATAGCCTAGATTTATTACATTAGCATAACTTCTTTTGATAGTTTATACACCGATGATATAAACAAGTAGGTTGGAATGGTTAATAATCTCATATAACCCATGATCCAACTAATCTAAATAGACTCACCATGATTGGGATCTACCCATTTTCAATACATTTTTTAATAAGATGAGGAAATACAAAATTTGATGCACCAATTTACCATACAAATCAAAATACATGTCCTCCACTTGTATGTTGCAGGCCTTAACATGTTTAATTGTATCATAAAAATAAAAATCTATCTCAACTAAACTAAACAAGGTGCAATTGTTTTAATTATGGTGCACTTAACTACAAGAAATTTGTGCATACTTGCTTAACTGTGATGCTAACTAACCTGTGTGACATGCCACTGACCTTTTCATATATGTAATTTACTAAGGAATTATAAGGAAGTGTTTGGTTTGGAGGGATTTGGATTTCATGGAAGAATTTGGAATTGGAGGGATTTGGATTTGGCAGGTCTGGGATGTTTAGATTTGAACTCCAAATCTCCCTAAATCCTTTCCATTCCAACAAACGAAACGGAACCTAAGAGATTTGTTATAATTGGTCATTTATTAGGATTTCAATCTTGATTTTGCTATATCTCGTCATTTGTAAGGTATGAACATTGTTGGTGAGGATTCACAAAGAGACGATGAATAAACCAGGAAAAAGAGATTGTGGTGCAAACGTTTCTTAAAACATGTATACATGAGGTCCTTATACATGGACGAAAAGGCATTGATCTTAACTCTTAAGCCACGTTCATGGAAGAGATGGATGCAACGTGTTGGGTTCCCCAAGACAGTGAGTGCATGGCTAATTTCCGTAATGAGATTGCAAATCAATTGGTGTTAAATGCTTCAAGTTAGATGTTGTACATAAATATTGTGTTTAAACTTGCATTTCATGTGATATTTTGTTATGTAAAACTCAAACAAACATTGTTATTTTTGTGTGGATTCATATGATATCATGTATTGGCTTGGACAATTAACTATTTTCTATTTTTTTTATTTAGAAATTTCATTTAGAACTTTTGTCAAACATTAATTTTCATTCATAACTTTTGTCAAACATTAATGGTTTAGCATAAGCCATAGGGTAGCTATTGCGTATCACCCTCAAACAAATGGTTTAGCTGAACTTTCCAACAAGGGGATCAAGTGTATCGTAAAAAAAGTGGTAAAACCAACAAGGAGGGATTGGTCCTTCAAACTTGCCATTTACCACTAGAACTTGAGCACAAAGCTTTTTGGGCTTTGAAAGAGCTTAATATGTGTGTGTTGATCCTCTCTCTCAATGATTTGATGATAATCCCTTTTTCCTTTCGATGTATTTTAGTTTCTGTATTTTCAGTTCCAGCGATCAATACA